CACTGTTGTATGTCCACATCGTTCCGAGTAGGTGAATTTGTAACAACCTATATGATTTCTAATGGTACCACCATAACCTGCTAGCCCTAGTTTCCAATCGATCATCTATCAAAGTTGAGTTTTAAGTAATTTTCATGAAAAGGCATCCAAATAGCGTTTTAGTATGTTCGTCATTAAACTTAGCAACTTCATATGAGTTCTAAAAAATATGCAATTTTGGGATAAACTTACAATCCTTGTTTGTTGAAAACTATTCAGCTGTTGTTGCTAAGGTGTTAGACTTCAAAACTTCAATCTCACTTTGTGTCCCTTCAAATGTTATTATATTTATCTATTTCCAAATATTACAAATAGTGCTCACCTATAAAGCTATCCATAGCCAATTTTCGATAGACCAGGGTTCATCCATTGACAGAGGATCAACTCTAGGCTTTGTGGGATCATGATATTTAGATTTAATAATTTTCTATAACAATCCCACATGCTTAGAGTAAAAGGACAATATAAAAGAATATGGTCCACACTTTCATTATCCCTCAAACATAGCCTAAAAACATTGACAATTATGAAACATCTATTACGAAGGTTATCCATAATAGACAACTTTTTTTTAAGAGCTACCCACAAAAAACAACTCCTGTAAATTCCAAATTCTTGCTAAACTATGATCAATCGCTATGTGATTCTCCTCATGTAGCAGTCAATAGATAGACTTAGCTGAAAAATCCCGCGATGCTTTGAGTTCCTACACCAATTGATCATCTTTATTGGGAACATAAAAAAAATTATGCAATAGATTCATAAGCAATTACCAAAACAAGTAATGATGTGTCCTCCATAGCCCGCATAAATATTAATAATTCACCGAATAGCGATGATGTGTTCTCCATGATTCCTTATATTATAATATTTTGCTTGCACATAAGGCTAAATTTTAGAGTAGAATATAAGCTAATGGAAAATAGTTTGATAAGGCTACAACCTTATCAAAACAAGTAAAGCCTCACTTTATAACTCATCAAAAATTGCAATTCAAGCATTATAAAACTTTTACATCGATCATCTTGGCTTGAAGATTATGGTTGTAAAAAAAAATATATTTTCAAGCTCTAAAAATGGTATATATTGTAACAAATTATCTAGATCGTCCATTTAATCCTAAAAAATAAGTGTTTATATATCCTGGATACGAATACCATTTATTTAGTTTCAAATTTTATTGTTGTTATTGGAATATGATTTTAGAGCCATCATGGAGATTTCTACTGCCAAAAGTGCTTTCCGGATGAGGAATTGAAGGGAGGCTTTAGTTTGTTTTCATAGAACCTAGGCCCTATAGAAACCTCATCCTATAATACACACTATAATATTATATTATACTTATATATATTAAATAAATATATTGTTGAAAATTATATTATATATATTATTTAATATATAAACAAAAATAGTGAATAGTGGGTTCACGTGTGAAAATAAAATATTGAAAACGTTTCCCCATAGGTTGAAATTAGGGTCCCACAAATAGGGGTGGCAATGCACCTGGACCCGACTAGGGTATGGGTGTAGGTCCAAAAAATTGGACCCGGTGGGTCGGGTCCAGGTCCAAATATTGGACCCGAGCACTATTCGGGTCCAAGTCCGTATGGGTCCGACAAGGACTAGACCCGAATAGTGTTATTATTTAAATAATACTTAATATATAATATTTAAATAAATTTTATATATTTGTAGTTATAATATTTAAATAATACATGCATATATTTAACATAAGGAAGACATTACGCAATGCCGATGAACGAAAATAAACAGTGTTTTCGCCCATAGGCTTGGCGCTGTCCGATTTTTTCATACGGTGTGGATTAAATCGCAACAGACATAGTAGGTCTGTTGTAGTATTTTTTCACGCAAAAGAACACGGGCGACCGCCACGGCTCCCATAGATCCATGGCAGTTTTTAAGGCAAAACCGTCATGGACAAAATATGTCTATAGCGGGGCAAAACACTATTCAATTTTGCCTATAGGCGTTTTTAAGAGATTTCTTAACAAATATTTAAATATATTTAAACACATATATTTTCATTTTTGTGCCAGTCCCGACCCGACCCATTGCAACCCCTGCCCACAAAAGCTTATAGTTGGAGCTTTGCAAGAGGGTGCAAGTGCACTTTTCATTCGTGCGCAAGCACATAATATATTTATAGTGATATTTCATAATGATTTGTACAATGTAAGTTTAATAGTAAATAGGAGTAGAGACGAGGGAGCAATAAAGATTAACGGTCAGGAAGTACAAAAAATACCGCATTTTTTTATACCTTGGGTAGATAATCCAGGAAAATAGAGAGATTGAGGAATATGTCGTATATAGAATTAGAGCTGGGTGGGTGAAGTGGAGATGTAAAACTAGAACTTTATGTGATTGCCGCATACCAATGAAGCTGAAAAGTAAGTTTTATAGGACAACAGTGAGATCAGCTTTGCTTTGTGGGGCATAATGTTAAGTGGACAAAAAATAATATACCCATAAAAAGAGTGTGACGGATATGAGGAAGTTGAGATGGAAAAGTAGCAAGACAATAATGGATAGAATATAAAATGAATCTCTTCGAGAAAGTTTAGGTGTGGCACCAATAGGCAATGAGATGAGAGAGAGTATACTTCATGAGTTGGCCATGTGTGGCGTCGACCCAATATAGCGCATGTTAGGAGGTACCAATTAGTTAAAGTGAAAGGATTGAAAAGGGAGCCCAAAAGGATGTGGTTGGAAGTAGTCCGAAAATATATGGGGATTTATGGTTTCACCGAGAGTATGACCTTAAATATAGTAGAATGATGGATCAGGATTTGTGTAGTTAACCCCAATTAATCATAAAAAAGATATGTAAGATTTGAAATATTGGAAGCTATCACCATCATTCATATATTATGGACAAAGATAAAACTTAAGCTTATAATTTAAAGAGAAAAGTTTATATAGAGCCGATGCTCTAAACAATCAAATTCGAGCCTACCGAAAAAATTTCATTAGAAGTGGTTGTTTTGACGCCAAAATATCATCAAATTGATCATCTCAACATCAAGATGCATCGACAATAGGAAAAAATGGATTTCAAGCTTTGGATATAGTGTATTTTGTAACGCATTTTTGGATTGTCAATTTTCAAGATTTTCAAGTTTTCATAGATTTATCGATCTACACTATTTTTGAAGCTTTAAACTTTATAAATAAAGATGAAAATATATTTTAAGGCCATCACAAAGATTTTCAGTATCGAAACCACATTTTTGGACATTATTTAAAGTAGGCTCTAATTTGATTGTTTAGATCCTAGGCTCTACCCTAATTTAAGTGTTTATATATGTTTATATATCTATGACCATTCAAAACATGGAAACCATGTCTCGTATGTTTATATCTTTACAATTTAAAACATGCAAACTTCCCTTGCTAAGATTTAAAAGTTATTGTTTTTATTTTTCATGTAAGGAATAATTTTCTTTATAATGATAAAAATATTCATTTGGAGTCATCCCCTTTCATTTGGAGTCATCCCCTAATGCAATTAAATAGTATTTTGTGCATTTTTTGTATGATTTTATTCTCAAGGACTTCTATTATTAGAAATCACAAAGAAAGAATACTGTATAAAAATCACATTTTTAGACCCAAAAATAACATGGCCTAACAATTCAATGATCTAAATTTACAGGTGCGAACCTTCTATTAATGGGTAGAATTCGACTCAAAGAAGCAAGCGCACGGGGTTACTTAAATTGGGCATTACTTCTCAAGCCACATAATTCCACTAAAAAGTAATCACTATTTGAGCCTAATAAATCTGACAATGGACAGATTTGCCCCAAAAAATAGGACAAGTGTTACTTCATGATAGGAAATTACTGCGAACCAAATGACAATAAATAGCATGGATCATAGTTGTGAGCTCGCCTAATCAAAATCACCCGAGTCAGCTACAGAGTAAGAGTCGTATAAGTTTTAATTGTTTCCCTCATTTTCATTAAGGAAATGTTTCTATATTTTTCCTACTGTATATAATATATATACAATACTCCCCTTATCTGGCTGTCTAATTTAGATAAAGTGAGCCACCAACTGTTTGATCTAGATCAGATGCATTAGAATATTGTTTTTTTTTATTTTTTATTTACAAATTATATGAATATAAAATTTGGTACATGCTATCATCTTAATGGGGCGCACCTAAAAGAACTATAAAAAAATATTTTCGATACATATAGTGATTAAAATACCCCTAAAATTTGGTATTTTTGTTATTTTATTTTATATGAGAGATTGTTTTTATATATTTTCTACACTAGCAAGTTTAAGAGATGACTAGACATCCAAAATTTGGTGTCAAAATATTTGATAGAAACAAAATTTAAAATGAAATAGTGTAGATGCATGACATTATGAAATAGACAGTTGGATAGGCGAAATATATAAATTTTATACAATAAGAAAAGTACAGAAAGCTTGCCTTTTTAATTATACATAACCTAATCCGACTTAAGAAAAGTATAGAAAGCTTGCCCTTTTAATTATACATAACCTAATATGACTCAAGAATCGCAACTACTAAGAATCAGACAAACTTGGTGAGGGAGCCTAATACTGGCATTTGAAACAGTGGTATGAACGGCGGTGGCTGAAACTCAATCCCACCAATTTCATTAGCATCTCGAAGTGTAGTATGACTCCCATATCATAACCGTCCAGCCATGGATGAGCCGTGCTAACCCGATAACCATATTGTTACTATGGTACATGTACTATAGCACACACAATCACTCCTCAATTCGTGCGATCCAGTTAAATGAAATTGAACGGCCGCTATTTCCGTTTTTAACCGTTATTTATTACAAGTCAAGAATCGTAATGTCATTGATAAAAAACAAGAATGGTATTTTTGTCACCAGCCATTTTTCCCGGAGCCTATAAAGCGATCATGCTCGTATGTATATTCCTCCTCAGATCGGTTAGCGATTTAAAAACGCTTCCGCGTCCTCATTTTTCGTAAACGAGGAAGAGGCCCGCCTAAATTGAGAGAGAGAGAGAGAGAGAGAGCGTAGAGATTTTTAATGCGCGCCTAAATTTAGAGAGAGAGAGAGAGAGAGAGCTTAGAGATTTTTAGAGAGAGAGAGATTTTTTTAGAGAGAGAGGGACCCCACGCGTCGGTGGAGACAGGTTTTAAGAGGGAGATTGCAAATTTCTTAGAGAGAGACGGACCGCATACGTGAAGTGAGAGGAGGCAACGACACGGCTTTACAGTTACATAGGAAGCGACGAGGAAGCTTCCTGTCTCTGTAATTGCCTCTGCAACTTCATACCTCCCTATACATCCGTTTCCTTCTCCGCACGAAGCCCTAGGAAGAAGCGGCTCCATGCTCTATCTTCTCCAAATCCGCCGTTAAATATCTTCTCAAGGTAACTATCAATCCATTCATGGAAAGGCGGTTCTGTCATTCATCGAGTTTCTCTCTCTCTCTTCTGTGTTGTTCTGGTTCGGTAGTGTAGTTTTGATACACATGTTTGTGTGTGAAGTGGCATTTGATCTGGTGCTTACAAAGCCGGTATCATCTCTCCTGAGACAGCCATTGTTGCTGGTTCGATGAGTTCTCCCTGGAACTCTTCACCTTATCGGAGGCAGATGGACGAGGAGAGGGCACATGGGGATGATTTGTCGCCCTTCGATTCAGATGACTCTGGACTTTTCCATATTCCAGCCAAGAAAGCTCCCATTGAGAAGCTCAAGCGATGGAGGGTAAATGCATTGCTCTTTCTCATTCCCCCTCTCTCTCTATCACGTTATTTCTTTATCTGCCTTCTCTCTCTCTCTCTCTCTATTTCTCATTTTAATGCGCTCTCCTGCCTCTTTCTACTGTCTCTCCTGGGTTAATACGTTATTTATCTCCTTCCTCTCTCTCTTTTCTACCTCCCCATCCTTGTCTTTCTCTTCCAACCTCTCATCTCTCTCTGTATTCTACTATTGCCGTCTCTTTTAATATTTTCTGTCTCTCTATACGCATCACTTCCTCCCGTACTCACCGTTTGTCAGATTATGCTCTCTCCCTTCTCTCTCTCTCTCTCTCTAATTATTAGGTTATTGTGCGCTCTCTCTCTATATATATTTCCTGGGCTAATGCATTATTTATGATCTCTCTCGGTATCTTTTCCCTCGGACTCTCTCTTCATTTATTGCTTTCATTTTTGTTTCTCTCTCTGTCCCCCAACCCCAATCGTCTCTTCTCTCCGTCTCTGTCACTTTCTTCTGTACACTCTCTTTCTCCCTCTTTGTTTAAATTATTACCTCGTTTTATTTTAATTTTTACGAAATAGCAATGTGATATTGGGAAAATTACACTAATTACATCAATAAATAGATTGTCCCGTTTGGTATTGCTGGGTAATAATGATTATTTTTCTCGTTCATTATTTGGGTATGGTGTGTTAATAGGGAAACTCTTGAAGGCGTGAAGAGTGGTGCAAATTTCTGTAAATTTTGGAAATTGTCGTACTTTTTTTTCTTGGATTGATTGCTCTTATTGTATTAATTGTAATTCTTTGTTTCAACTTTTTTTGTTGAAATTGTTTTAAATGGATGAACAATTGGGTCAGTAAGAAATATCCTAGAGGTGTGATGATTTTCTGCAAATTTTGTGATATTCATATGATTTTGTCTTAGATTGGTAGCGGTGCCTCTGCTTAAGGTTATGTATGGAGAAGAGTGAAAATTGTGGTTCAATTATTTAAATTTTGTTTTTCATTATACATGGGTCGAGCACATATTTCCTTATCTAGGAATTGCTTTTTTCTGTTTATTATATATTATTTTGTTTGCTCTGATTACAAGAAAATATTTTCTTTGTACCCACATGAATATCTATTTGCAGTGAATTTTATGACGAAAAGCTATTCTTTCAGAAATGTTCTTTCTTTTTGCTTTTTTTCATATAGTTCATTCATTTGATACTTTGCTTGATGTGAAGGTTGTTTCCTTATGTGAAATAAAGAATGGGGCTACTAAAACGCTTCTTATTCCATTTATTTCGAACTAGAATTAGCATTCCATGGTGGAATTTGATTAATATTGCTCTTTCTTTTGTTCCAACAATAAAGTATATGGACTTCGGCAATAGAAAGAGTGGTTTTAAATCAATATCTTGCATCTTAACTGGTCTGACTAAAGGAGAACTAAAAAACTTATGCAGTCATTCGTACCTTCCAAATGGATGAGTATTTGAAAGCCATGTATTTTAAGCTACAAATACCAGTTATATACTATTCTCTTAGCCATAAAATTGCTGAAGCAGTTTTAGAAGAATCCATGTGCCTGGTCAAAATTTATATTTTCAAATCCATCCATTCACATATCCTGACATATCCTTGAACAATATGGGCTTTTACTTCACTTGGTGTTTGTTGGAATAGTGCTGTGGCTTTCTTCTTAATTGTGTTCCTGTGTGATTGGTTTTCATTGCTGCCTCTAGACAATTTGTGTAACAACCCTGAATTTCTTGGTTTTCATCAAAACCTTGGATTTTTGTTTTTGTATTTAAAGATAAAACTGTTGCCATTTTATTTTTGGTTTTTTTTTTTTTTTTTTGAGAAAGAAGTTGCCATTTTATTTTGTTTCTAAAGGTAAAACTGATACCATTGTCTTGGAACTGAAGTATTTTGGTCCTTTCCTAAAGTTCTAGGGATTTTGGATTCTGATTAATGGAAGAAATATTTCGTTTATTCATCAGCGATTAATTGCGAATTTGCGATACTTATCAAAACTCAAAGCCGCATAGTTCATTTCTAAAATATTCTGGTGGTTCTGAATAAATAGCATTCTGCTCATTTGCAGAAAGGTCCGGCATATTTTTAGGGTGTCTTGGAGATTAGATGGTAGGGAAATTCCCTTGGAATTTTAATGTGCCTTTAAATATGGGGGGGTCTAAGTCAGAACTTTACTTGCGTGAGATATCTTGAGCACTCATTCTTTAGATGCATGAGAGGATGACCTCTTTATAGTCGAGTCACCTACTTCTGGAGTTAGGCTGCAGCTTGGAATGTGTTGCAAGATACTCTTACTAGCTATTTCATGTAGATTGATTGCAATTGTTGTACTTTCTCCTTGAAAATGAAAGCATATTGTTATGTCTCTTTATGTCCTTTACTGATTAGGTTTTCTCTAATGCAGCAAGCAGCCCTTGTGCTCAATGCTTCGAGACGGTTTCGTTACACCTTAGATTTAAAAAAGGAAGAAGAGAAAGAGCAAATAAGAAGAAAAATTAGGGCCCATGCTCAAGCTATACGAGTCAGTATTGGTTTTCAGGATCATGATATAAATCTCTCACAGCTGTGTGGTATATTTTTAAACCTTCTATTGTTATTATGTGTCAGGCAGCATTACTCTTCAAGGCAGCTGGTGAAGGGAAAGTACCAGGTACTTGAACTGTCCTGAAAGCTTTTACTTCGTTACCTTTGGAATTGAACCTGGAATCATGTTGCATCATATCATTTCTATTGGAAGATGACATCTTCACCTCTCCCTTCTTTTTTTTTTTTTTTGAACTGTCACCTGTCCCTTCTTTTGTCCTTTGTACCTGCTCTTTTTCTTTGCGTATGTGTTTGGTTTCGGCCGCTATTTCTTTAGAGTTTCCCCTCGATCGATCGGATTCTAAGAAAATACATATTGCGACATTGACCTTAACTGATTTATTGAGGGCATTCCTTGATTAATAAGTTTTCCTAGGTTTTACTTTATTGGCTAGCCTTTCCTTGAGGGTCCACTAAACTATGATCTTTGGTCCAATTGCTAAAAGCTATGGAAGTGCAAAAAGGGCACCCAAGCTTCAGATATTTTGTGGCAATCTTTGCTTGTGTAATGGATAAAGTGATTTCGGATTGGTGCCCTTCCAAATGTGATCTTCAATTTGTTCAGTTTACCTGGTTCTTAAGTTCTCCTTATGATGCTTTGTTTTTGGGATTGCTTGTTCCATTTATATAACATTCATCAACCAAGCCCAATATCTATCAGACTGAGCAAGAACTTTATGGTGCTCTTTCATGTACTTGGCTTGCTTTTGATTTCTAGGTCCTCCTCAAGAAGTTACTAGACCAGTTCCAGATGGTTACGGAATTGGTCCCGATGAGCTTGTTGCAATGAGCCGCGATCATAACCTTCCTGCCTTGCAGGCACATGGAGGGGCAAGCTTCTAGTCCTGTCTATGGCTTTCTTTTGATATGCTTCTTTGTTTTAATGTTTATTGCTTTCTAAGTATTGCGTATTCCCTTGAATATCCTCCCTGTTCAGGTCAAAGGACTAGCGAACCTTTTAAAGACCAATTTGGAGAAGGGTCTTGGTGAAGATGAGAGTGAAATTCTCCATCGCAGGAAGGCATTTGGAGAAAACACATATCCCAAGAAAAAAGGACGAAATTTTTTTGTACGGTTTGGCTTGATTTTTAAGCATTTGATTCCGTGACTGTTTGATATTTTCTGGATCAGTTTCTTAAAGTAAAGATCATCTTATGGCATACTCTCTCTGTTTCAATAGATTTTCCTTTGGGAAGCCAGTAAAGACTTGACTCTCATCATCTTAATGGTAGCCGCGGCTGTTTCACTGGGAATGGGTATTAAAACTGAGGTAAATCTGGTTCTAGACATTTGGTTAGCGCAATGATACTTGTTTATCAACTGTTACATACTGGTGGAAGGTGACTTTGTACAAACCCCTAATTCCTATATATCTATCTATATATGTACTATATATTAATTGATAAGGGACCTCCTTATGTTTGTGTCATGTGTCCTTTTTATTTCCAATTTTGTCCTCTTAATTTTCAATATATATATTTTTTCCCTTACTCAAAAGACACCACCCTACAATTCCAGGAGTTACAATGTTCTTCATTAATTACTTATGGGGTTAAACCCTTTCATTCATATCCATCATGATTCTTCACTAATGAATTATGAGTTCCGCATGGATGCACCCTTTCTATGGTGACTCTTCACTAATTACTTAAGTGAAATGGGATAACTTGATGGAGCACATTTTCAATGGTGCTCCCTCATACTCTATTTATAATTGTTTAAATCATTGTAGTTAATTATTTTGATTGTTGTAATTGATAGTATTAATAATTATTATAAAATTAAAAACATAATTGATATAAATACTATTAATCATATTGACAATATAATTGTAATATTATAATGAATATTATAAACAATCACAAATGAGTAGAATCCTAATTAAATATTATGAATATATTTTATAAATATAATTTTGTAATACAATAATAAAATTTATTAATAAAATTAGAAATAATAATAATATTAAATTAATCATGATAAAGTTTAAACTTTTAATAATAAAAATAGTATAATTTCAATTATTAGTATTATGTAATTATAATATAATGAATGTTATAATAATAACAATTATATAACTCCTAGTCCTTATGGGAAAAAGCAAAGTCTCACCTCAAAACTCACCAAAAATTGCACATCTAGCATCGACAAAACCTTCAAATCAATTATCTCGATCTTGATTATTATGGTTGTAAAAAAAAAAAAGGATTTTAGGCCCTGAAAATAGTGTATTTTGTAACAAATTATCTAGATTGTCCATTTCAAGTGTTCATGGATCTGCAAGATTTGCATCCTTCTTTGAGTTACAAAGTTCATTATCAGTGGTGGAAATTGATTGTAAAATCTATTGTAGAGATTAGATTTTGAGATGATGGTTTACTTTTTTTCCATAAAGCCTAGGCCTGATAAATAATTAAGATCCCAATTGTATTTCCTTGATTTTGTTTTATTTGCTACATCAAATTTGGTTTGTTATATTTAAATTTTACATCACATAAAGAATTTGTTCATTTCACTAAGGATATGTCTCATGTTTAATTGCGTAATATAAAGAGAGACAGTCATATTCTCGTTCATTATAATTTTTGATATCATTGCTATGAATTTCATGCCACCACTTATATAACCTTTTAATGGGACCTGCGAAACAGGTGCAACTTACCCGTTATAATGATGTGTAAATTATATATTATTGCTATGAATTTAATGTCACTTATATAACCCTTTTAATGGGACCTGCGAAACAGGTGCAACTTACCAGTTATAATGATGTGTTTGCTCTTTATTTAGAATTGGTGGGATTATTTTGGGCTTCCTTTGTTACATATTGGTTGTTGACAATTCTAGGTTTCTTTGATGTTTCATAGATGAGTGAGCCCTACAGTTTAGTTTCATATGTTATCATGTTTCTTATAATTACAGGGCATCAAGGAAGGATGGTATGATGGGGGGAGCATAGCTTTAGCTGTTATTATTGTTATACTGGTCACTGGTATGTTGCTCAATCTATGGTGAAACTAGAGATTAATAGTTCTAATCTATCAGATTCCAATTTGCTTTCCACCTTTTCCTCCCACCCTCCCTCTCTCTCTCTATATTTGGTTTATTGAAACTAATATTTGGTTTATTGAAAAGTTACACCGACCTTAACTTAGCTGTTGAGGCTTCTTGGTATAGAATTTTTGTGTGTACTGAATTGAGTTATGAAAGGAAAATGTCTTGCAATCCTTGTTTAATCCATATTCCTTTGTTTTCAATCAATGATTATCTACCTTGTTTGTTGGTTCAGTTAATGAAGTACTGTCTTTTTTAATTTTTGATATTAATGAAATGTATGCCTAGCCTTTCAAAACTGATTTGACTTATTAAAGAGTGGGTTTTCGACTGTTATATAAAAATGACATTTTCAAGGAAAATTAGAAGAGTTTTACTTGCAGATAGAAATGTCATACTTCTCACATATTTGACTGAGTCAATAACAAAAGATTGATGCTCACGGTCTGCCTTGCTGATTGGATTTGTTATTGATTGAAACGAACAGAATAATGTCAACTAAAATTATAAGAAATATTCCCTTAGAATAAGAAAATTATTCTGCTGTTGAAAAGAAAAGGGATATGTTAAATGTCATAATGTTGGTCCCATATGGATCCAGTAAACCAAGTTGAAACTCCAATCCAGAAAGCTCATTTAGAAAACCCAAAGGATGACTACCTCAATGTATTGCTTTTCTGCTTCCTGCCTTTTTGAAAGTTTGCAATTACATCAAATTGGTATTGTTCTCTCTCTCTCTCT